CTCATGGACTTTATTTTACTCCAACCGGTTTTGAAAAAATGTTGATTTGGTTTAGTTAGGTTCATCCAATGTGAATGAAACCTAGCTAAATCAAATCTATGAAAAATTAGGAGTAAAATGAGTCTAATATGTAAAATTTTGCCTAGACCCATCTCTAGGTCCAATTGCTAGTAACACTCTCTAGCTTGCTAATGCCACTCCCAATCCTACTACTAGAAAACTAAGAAAAGAGTGTATTTCTAGATTAGGTTAAATGGAGCCAAAGTGTCCAAGTAACCTACCCTAGAAACAATATACAATAGCTAATAAAAGGAAATAAAGTGCCTCACAAATACAAAGGCAAAAATACACCTATACAAGTATCTACTATATACAAGGTAGAAAAAATCAAACTATACAATGTATGTATAATAGAGACTACGAGACTAAAAAGAGGAATCATACTCAATACTCATATTGAGAATAGATCTAAGAAGCACCTCCTTTCTAGAAGCCTCCTCTAGCCTCCTAACCATGGACCTAGTTAAAGGCCCAATGGTCTTCAAGTGTGAGCCTCCTTAGATCAACCTTCACCCTTCTTGGTCTTACCTCTTCCAAAGGGATCCTTGGGGATTAGATTTCCATCAGTTGTACAAGAGACGAACGTCATTGTTGGGTGCATTTGAGAAATTGTGGTCAGGATCTCTCCCTTGATCTTACATCTATCACTAAGCTAATAGAAGAACTAGTAATATATGATGAAGATTGGGAGGTTGTCCTTACTCTAGCAACATTAGATGCCTTGCTCTACTAGAACAGTCCTCACTCCACCTCGTGAGGAGACTTGAAGAAGTTTCTTACACAAGCGAACTTGAAGTCGGTTTGTAGAGTGCTCCATAATCTTCTCTTTAACATCTTCCTCCCTCGCACTGGGTCATGGGACCATGTAAAAAATGTTGACAGGTTTTGCTTATACAAGATCTTAGTGAGGGATAAGGTCAATTTGCTTGATCTTATTTACCTCTGCTAGAAGACCTATTTGGCCTAGAGAGACCATGATCAGATCAAAAGAGCTTCAATTTCGTAGACCATGGTCTTCACTAAGATCCTTGAACACCACGACATGGACTTGGTTAGATAAGAGAAGGGGCTAGATGGTGGCGAGGTGAATGTGACAACCTTGACGCAAATAGGGACTACTTACCTCTTTGTTAAGGTTAATAGTGAAATTGAAGCACAACTACCACACAAGAAGCATTAGACCGCCTCCTTTTCCATCAAAATCTATGAAACAAACCCTCCCCAACCAAAACCCAAATCACCATCATCCACCTCTTTATCTGAGCCACCATCACCACAACCCAATCTTGAACACCGACCACCTCACCATTTTCCCAAATCTTCGATATCTCCTTAGATGGTGGGGCACTTGTACTTAGACATAAGACTCCACCTTTGTCTATTGCTACCCCAACCTTTAAATCACAACCATCCAAACCATCTTCTACCACTGCCACTCCTAAACCTCCAACTACTCCACCTCAACCTCCTCAGCCTACACATAAATCACCAACTCCACCTACTTAGCCTACACCTCAACCTAACCCCAAACCAAAGAGGAAGAAGCATATGGTGCGAGGTTCAAGCCTTAGATAGATAAAGATAGGGAAGTGAAAAGGGTCAAGCTACTATTGACTGTTAAAGCTCAACAATAGGCAATCATTGATGCAACCTAGACTATGGATAGTTAGAAATTGCTCTGAAGTTGTCCTTTTATAAGCCATCCTCTCTAGGGTTGGAGGACAAGCATCATCTTCCCAAGCTTAGGAGGAGCCAAATGTGTCTGTCGTGGCTATAGAAAAGGTGCATGACTTGGAGGCACCCACAAAGGTTCTTCAAGAACCAGCTGCTCAGCTAATGTTTATAGACTTGACTTGAGAGGAGTCACCATTTACAGACTTGTTCTTCTGAGGGTTTCTTGCAAACTTTCTTATTCAAACTGTTGAGGAGTAGCCCTTGAAGGTAGTTGCTATTGTAAAATCATCTGGAGTATAAACGAACTATCCCAGCAATCTAACCACTGAAGATTGGGTGTCAGATAAGGAGGAAGTTCCCTTCTACAACCAATGAAGCTAAAGTTAAGGCCTATAGTTGGATTCTACCATTAAGGCCAATAGTTCATCTAGCACCATAGTTCCCTATAGTGTTGTGGAACTTGTGCATGACAATGATTTACTGGTGTCAACTGAAATGTTTTCTTTTGCACCCCTTAGTTTTGATAGCTCCATGGTCTAACCCTCTTCCTTTATACTTGAGGACTTCAACTTAGCCATTCCACCCTCAGAGGCTATGGACTTCGGATCAAATAGTGAAGACTCCAAAATGGAACGTCTACTTGAGGAGGTCACCACAGACTCCAATGGATGTTGGAGCCCTTTTCCTGACAACTTGGCTTTCACTACTCATCTAATAGATTTTACTACATTTGAGAGCCAACGTTTAAGAGATGCTCTTAGACCACGCGATATTGAATGTCTACCATTTAAGGAGTGTTTCTGTGTGGAGTTTGACTTATCTAACCCATATTGGGTAGATGGTCAAACTCTCAACTTCATAGAAAGGCAACATCTGGAGATTCAAAGGTTGAAAATGAATCATGCTGTCATGGAGCTCTCTTATGGATCTTCTCCATCTCTACCTACCATGCTTAGCGAGCCATATAGGCCATGGGTACTTCAGCCATGGACCTAGTTCTTTATTGAAGTTACTCGCACAATCCCTACTACACTAGATAATCAAAAAGGCAAGGAGAAGTTGCCACAATACTTAGAGGATGTGCGTTTTCTTTACTACAGGGCTCATCATACATCTTAGATGCACTCCTTGAAAAATGACCCTAAAAGCTATCCTCAAGTGTTGAGTAGAAGCTTTATGGCTTTACCTTTGTGTAGAATGACCCCATCTTATTTGAACCAACTCACAACATGCCAAAGGGTATACAAATATTCTTCACCATACGAATTTTCATTCCATCTATTCTTGTTAAGAAATATCATATTCTAGTACAAGAATTTGTTATATCTACCACCTCCACCTCCTCTAAACACCTCTGTCAAACCATCAGGAACATCTAAGTAACCCTTCTCTCCTTCTCTTCAGTGGAAGGGAAATGTGTTTAAGTGGTTCTAGGTTGTCTCACTTCACCATGTGGGGATAAAGGCCACTTAATAAACCCTAAACTCACTCAAGGGAGGAGAGGGGAGGTCTAGGCCGTTATGACCTGTCGCCACCGGCCCGAAACGGGCTTTCGGCATTCGCGAGGGATGGTTGGACTCTTTTATTTGTTTAAAAATATGGATTGCTAGAATGACTTATTCTCAAACTGAGACCTTGTCAAACAAGCAATTTTATTAAAAGGCTCACCAATCCATGTTAATCCCAAGCGGGACCCTCCATGGATTAGCGGTTTTCATAAAAAGGAAGGGTTCATGGAGTCGCCACCAATGTTTTACTCAAAACATTGGAAAAAGAAGTTTAAGGCAATCGATTCAAAAATCGACTTCGGCCATGACAACCAGAGTCGGGTAAGGGAGTCGGTTACGCGTGGGGAAGGTGTTAGCACCCCACAGCGCCCCTTTCGGGTTCCCTATGACAGATTATTTC